TTTATTTAGTGCATATGGCTATGGTAAAACAATACCCAAAAATGTTTGCACGATGGTAACTCGACAGATTTTCATCTATCCTGGATGAGTCTGGAAGGTACAAGGTGTGTCAGAAAAGCTCCATGACCGGCTTCACAAAAGATAGATTTTAAAACCAAACTATAAATTTTTCCCTTTAGTCTTGGGGTTGTTGGCAGGGTACAAGCCAACTGAACTCTCGCATAGTGTGCAAGGTTTGGCAGCTACTTTTCAAGTGTGGCAGAGACTCAGCCCCTGGTTTTACGGTCACCCAAAATTTGAATCACAGCTGCACCATGTAGCGATGTCGCACATTACAACCAAATAAAATGCTCATAAGATTTCACACAAGCTAAAAATACATATACACAATAAAGTACACATCTTTTGTGACACACACCTTGTATCCCCCCCACACCAAACAGGAGATCACTGTACATTGGAAAACTGGGTGAGTGCACATACTGTACATTAAGAGAGACATACCCCGGCACCAGTCAGCACCAGGATCCTTTTACTTTCATGCAGTAGCCTGACCACATCTTCCAAGGTGTTGATATCCTTCCGTTTTTTTCTTTTAGGAGGTTCTGAGATGTTGATGATGATCTGCCACAGTGTCATGTCATCTAAATCCGGTGGGAGTACAGTCTCAGGAAGCAACTCCCTTAGAATGGCCCTTGGGTCGGTCTCCCTGATGTGCTGCTGGATGAAACTGTAGGAACCTGGCCAAGAAGATAACATCTCAGCATGGCATGCATTCCAAATGGCTCAAGAATTCTCATAAAAGCCACGATAGAGGACAGTCAGGTCAAGATAAATCTTAAATTCACACAGGCACCTATGTGTGGTTGAGGTGTCCAGTCGCTGGAGCTGGCATGGGAGGATCTGTCATCTTCCTCCGTGACATGCTCAGGTGTGACGGCCAAGCCATTGGAGGAACGATCGATACACCCAAAGAGACCTGCGTGTAGTAGACATTGCAAGAACTGTAACACAGCCTACAAAGTGCGGTGACATCGGTTAATATACTTAACATGTGGTAACCTACACGGCTATTAACGTTACGTTTTAGACATGATAATGACAACAACCTCGGCGGGTAACTTTGGCTCATGGAAGTGGGTGTGTGGACTTAAAATCATACCAGCTAACGAATGCTACGTCGCTATCAAAGTTCAGTGTCTCGTGGGAACAAGTCCATTCATAAAAACTCATCCAATGTCTCCCATAGAGGCTTTCCTACTCGCTTACGTGTCATCATTAATAGGAAAAGGGCTGCCGCCGGGTGCAGTTTGATTGTCGGTGGAAAAATGTGAGTTCTTCTCATTGGGTTAAAAATGAATCCGCGCTCAATTTGGGAAAACGTGTAACCGCCGGAGAACGGCGCTTAATGCGTTAAAAACGTCAGCCTCTCTACCTACCGGCACTGGACTCGAACGTCCCGAGCAGGGCGCTGTCGTCTGGTTTCACGGCGGACTTAAAAGGCTCGGAGACGAGCAGTCCCAGGCCATTGTTGTCTCCGCCTTGCGCTCCTGGGGCCTGCTCTACCGCCATCGACGGTTTTGCTTCCCTCTCCGCTGGCTGCGTACAATTTGCCGCCGCCTCCCAACTCTCCGTGACTCCAGAAACGCAAGGGAATTTAATGGCGTCGGTGACTTTGGGGCCGTAGTTTGTCGCTAGGGTAATTTTCGACTTTTTAGAGATGGGCTCGTCCATTTCGGATGCGCCCGAGAAGGCCGTTCCCAGACTGTTCTCTCCGTCCGCCATCTTCAGCCCGCAGAGCCGCCGAGCGGAATGAGCGAATCCCTCCCCCACGGACAGCTGGCTCATTTGCATCGGTCACGTGACGTGGTCTCCTCCACTAGTCGCAGGGACGTTTTACCCCTTGCGTCACGAATATGAAACCATAACAAAAAATGCTGCATTCAAGTACAATCAGATTTATTTTCAATGAAGGAACTTTTAAAATTCTGTGACTGCGAACAGCTCTGGTTTACAATGAATTTTATATGATTTTGGACAGGTATTGCTTGTTTCGTGACAATTTTTTTTTCAAATCATCAAGCGGGTCACAATATTACCTTCGCTATCTGGTATTTTCTTGTTAATGTCATTTACATGTATGTCCCTTTAAAATTCGTCATGTGTGGTAAAACAGGATGAGTCACTCCAATGTATCGTAAGTCAGATGGTTCCCGTAGCTCATTGATCTCTCGACCTTCTGCGAAGCCGAAATATTCACGAAAGGCGAAAAAAAAAATATTGAATTCGAGCCGTTTGGCTAAGGAGCAGCGTCAAGAGAGGCTGGTTGTGCAACTAGCGTAGCACATCTTCAAGCTGCTCCTTTCGAAGAATCGTGACATTGTTTAATGGAGGCCGTTTTGAACTGCAGACCCGAGGATTTGGAAGACTATTACGCTTTATTAGGATGCGATGAGTTATCATCGGTAAGTTGTTTACTGGCAATGTATTCTCGGTCTGCGGTTCATTGTGAGCTGTGCACCACAAAACAAAATCTTGAGAAAATGAGAACTGTCAGAATTAATTTATAATGTACAAACGCAATTCCATCGAAATTAGGACGTTGTATTAAACATAAATAAAAAGAGAATGCAATGACTTGCAAATCGTGTCCAACCTAAATTTAATTGAATACACTAGAAAGACAAGATATTTAATGTTGAAAATGATGACGTTTATTGTTTTTAGCAAGTAATCATTAACTTAAAATTTAATGGATGTAAGACGTTGCAAAAGCCGTGACTGTGTTAGTGTCCAGTAATCACAATAATAATAATGTAACCCCCATGTACTGCGGAAGGCCTCTGCGAGAACATTAATTGAACAAGAACTATGGATGGTATATTCAACTAATAATACAGGATAGAATTCAGGATGATGGCAGAGACACTCTCCTTCCAAAACCAGAAACCGACTGCTACAAGATGGGCGTCCCCGCTCGGACACAGTCAACACTACCGAGTCCTAACAGGTACTGAAAGTACAAAAGTGCTTATCCACTTAAATAACAAGACAATGCGAGGGCGACACCCTGTGGCAGTCTCGATTCACTACCTGACAACAACAATAACAAGAATAATATATCTAAATTCCCTGCGATTGGCTGGCAACTAGTTCGGGGTGTACCCGTCTACTGCCCGAAGACAGCTAGGATCGGCTCCAGCACAACCGCGACCCTTGAGAGGAGAAGCAGATTAGAAAATGGATGGATGGATGTTATATGTCATGTAGTAATATGTTTAGAAATATTTATTAATTAAGGGCTAGCTTCAGCAATTAGTGGATTTTTTTGTGTAATGTCATAGCTCAGAATTGCACTGTAAAATCCATATAGGACAAGCTTTTATTGGTCAAATGCAAAAACAACAACAAAAAAAGAAAATATCTCTAACAGCCTGATGTGCTAGACGAAAAAAGTAATGCCATCTGTGGTTAAAATTTTGTTGTTGACCAAAGTAATGCATTAAATGGGACAAATCGAAAATGTACTTTTTACTGTTTGAACACATATTGTTTGGTTTCCCGAATGCCTTTACACCCCTCAAGTATGAAAATAAACAACCAAGTCAATCTTCTGTTGTCTGACGAGGCTGTTTTGGAAAATGAGTCTGTGGGAGAGCCATTCTACATATTGATAAATTAGTTACTGGTACCTTCGTGCATGCAAGCATTCCTTTCCAGTGAAACACAACATAAAAACCAAAAAGATAAGCAGAGCTGCACTTAGATTTGTCTGTTGCACAGATTAGCGTTGCCATACAGCGTTAGCTTCTGTCAATGTACACACTGAACACTTGATTGTTTGTTGAAGTTGGGCCTGTTTGGTGCTGCTGCATTAACAGATCTGGGAAAACATAATCCATATTGTCTTTGTGTGGCATTGAGCGTGCTTGGCTGTTGGCAGATGTCGAAAGTTGTGGTGCTAATTCCAGCTAGCTGTGGTTCATTAAAGCGTTTATTTATTTTCAGACTGAACAGATTCTCAATGAATACAAGATCAGAGCCTTGGCATGCCACCCAGACAAGCATCAAGGCAACCCCAAAGCAGGTACATTTGTTGAACGGCTATGGCATGTTTTTTAAAAGTCAAATCAATCTATTCATTACAAAGGTGTTTAAAGTTGATAATATTTTTGTTGAGTGTATTTGTTAATGTTTTAAAAATTGGCTCAATTATACCAGGATTTCTTTCTTTTCTTTATGGCAGTGGCAGAGTTTCAAAAACTACAGGAAGCCAAAGAGGTGTTAAGCAATGACACGAAAAGAAAAAACTATGATCTATGGAGGAGAAGTGGCGTTGCTATCCCATTCCATGACTGGCAAGCCTTAAACGACTCTGTAAAAACGGTGCGTGATGTTTTACTTTCGTGTGCTTGCGATGGAAACCGATATCATGATTGGACTGAAAACTCTTTGCAGTCAATGCATTGGGCGGTGAGAAATAAGAAGGAGCCGATGCTGGAGGCCGCAAAGGCAGAAACACCAATCACATCCAATCCAGAGGACCTTTATTGTCAGCAGGAAGCACCGGGGATTGTCTCAAGTGAATCCATGCAATCTTCAAGTAATTCCTTTTCATTCAATCATATTCATATCATGTGTATAATGATAAAAGTCCCATACTATTTTGAAGTCATTTAGTTCCATTCCTTTTTTTTTTTTGTTAAATGTGCCCTCCAAACCAGGTGATCAGATAAAGATATTTGGCTTCTCGGTGAAGTTTTCCAGATGAACCTAATATCTTTCGGCTAGAGAAGAGCCGGTTGTGCTAAATGCACGAAAACATTAAACAGTTGGATGTGTTATTCAAAAGCTTAGAGAAGGTCAATTTCAGTTGATAGTGGACATTAGGATATAAGTTCATCCTGAAATTTCACCCAAAAGCCCAATATCCCTAGCTTTTTGGGAGTATGTGTTGAAGGAGCAGTTTTAATTTTTATAAAACTAACTTTTTGCTCTCATGATCTAGGCGATTACTGGCATCGTCGTTTCCGCTGGACTGCTGACTCACCATCTTGTTTGCTGCAGAAGTTCCGTAATTATGACATTTGAATACAGTCCAGCACATTATACCCTGTTACTTGTAGTAACATTGTTTGTGGACATGGTCAAGCTGTGATGTCATTCCGTCTGTAAGGTAGATTGGTTAAATTTGGACGCTAACCAAATCATATGGATGTTAGTATCTGTGGTTTTGTGTTCATATATCCAAAATTTGACATTCACGACATTATTGAGCGAAATGGATGAACATTCTTTTAGCTCCATAAAAGACACAATAATATCAAATGAAACTGTTCATTTGAAGTGTTTATATTTTACCTATCATGTAAATACAATATACAAATGCTCCTTTATTTATATGTGCCTTGCAATTGACCAATCCAGTATGTCTTGCCAAAGTCAGCTAGAATAGGCTCCAACTCATCTATTTTAACACACAAATTAGAACGAGTGAAGCCGTTCGGATCATGGAAGGATGGATGGTATAGAAAATGAATGGATGCATACTTGACCGACAGCATTGTCAAGAGAAGCGGTAATTAAAATATGTCCTATTCTGGGTGTTAATTACTGTCTGTTAACTAATTCTCACTGCACAGATTCCCTACTTTTTCTGCCCCCTTCCCAGAATGACATAAAAATTGCTTGTGGATATTAATTTATTTTTTCCTCAGGGCCTTGAATAGATTACAACTGGAAACAAAGAGAGCGACCTGAAGAATTTGTTTTGAATATATATTTTTGAAATTAAAAACCGGATTATTGGTTACTTGAGGAAAATTGAAAATGTATTATTGTTTGTAGTTTTGACCTAGTGTAATGTAAGCATGAAGCGATATGCTTAGAGTGTATAGAAAGGATAAATACGAGTCAAAAAGTTGAAGGTTTAAAAAAAAA